TATACTAATTACGCAAAAACCAAAGACACCAACCTCGCAATCCTAAAAAAGTCAGTAATTTGACAGGTTCCCTTGGCGGCGTTTGCAAGTGTACCGGAAGCACCAAACTTACGATAATACGTTGATTTCGGTAATCCTTTAATTATCCTTGCATTTTCCTTTTTATCTTTCTCCCATATGATTGTTGGAGCCGTCATTGCTTCTTCATCAAGTTCTTTTCCACTTTCTTCATCAAATTCATTACTTTCAGCAAATATGTTCTCGCTAAAGACATCTTTAGCAAAGACATCTTTACAGATATCTTCAGCAAAAAAATCCTCCGCCCAGATGTCGTCTTCAGCAAAATTGTCTCTTCGAATATCCGAAACTTCCTTTCATCTTTTTTGGCTTGCTCTCTTCTTTCATTATTATATTCTTGAAGCATCTGAATCATTTTGTAATTCTTTAGCTTTGGCATACTTTAGTGATAGTTTTCACAAGGTCGGATTAGTTTTTTCAAATAATGAAAAAAAAAAAAGGAAAAAAATTTTTTTTACATATAATTTCTGATGAGAAGTATCCGAATTTTCTGATGTAAGGTACCTGAAAACAAAAACTTAACAGGACGAAAAAAAAAAAAAAAAAAAAAAAAAAAATCGAAAAGAATTCAGATCCCAGACGCCCCAACTTTAAATTCTTAAATCCGTGCCCCACATTTCCTTCTCAGGTAAGTTGTTGGGGCATGAGAATAATTTAATGTGCCCTTTAATATTAAAGGACTTTTTTCACACTATTTTCTCGAATAAGTATAAAAATTTTGCAAGAACATTCGGTTATCATATGAAATTTATAATCCTTGTAAGTATACACATGACTTGTGATCGACCAATAAAATTGCGAGTATGAGTAACATTAAATTTAATTGGCCGATCCAAGTCACGTTTTTTGTCCCATTTGTCATTAAGCATATACGAAGTGGGTTTTTTAAACAGTTATAAATCATAAATAAATAAGTTTTTTTTAAAAAAAAAGGCCGGTAAGTTGTAGTAAATAGAATTAGCTACAATTTGACGGCTTTTTTTTTTTGTATGATTTTTCTATTATAAGTTATTAGTTTTTAAAAATTATTAAATTTATTTTAGTCTTTAAGTGTCGTGCACTGTAGCTTAAAGGCTCGATTGGTGATATGTATTTCTTTCCTTACACCATATTCAACCTTGAATGGCTCTGATATTCTACCATTTGCCAAAATATGAGCATGTTGGGTTGAGAATAGCATATTAATTATGTTGATAAATTTGCTGCTAAAGTTCATATTACTTGAGATACAAATGATTGCCCTATTGAAGGCTTTTTGCTGGTCTAGCAACAATAGCCAATATTGCCTTGATTGGTTAGTTTGGTTTTTCAAAATAGCCAGGATGTCCAATGCAGTATCTGTTATAAATCTTCCCCTTATAAATGCTTGTTGTACTAGGTTAATAGTATGTTTACAAATAAAATTAATGCAATTGGCCAATACCTTCATGAAAATTTTCGCATCACTATTTACAATGATATAGATTTCCAATTACTAATATCTTTGAAATTGTCTGACTTCTTAGGTATTAAGTTAATTATATTTCTATTCCAAGAGTTTGGCATATTTCCTGATTCCAGCACATGGTTGAAGAGTTCTGTCATGAAGGGAAGAAGTTTTTTCTTCATATCCTTATAAAATTCATATGTGAGACTATTAGAGCCTGGTATCTTGTTGCTAGATAATGTGTCTATTATGTTATCTATTTCTTTCTTGCTTATTTGTTTTGTTAGTTGTTCGTTTTGTTCTTCAAAGATACTTGTAAGATTTCTTATTAACTCTTTTGCTGCTTTGAGATCAAAGGTTTCTATTTTGTATATACTTTGATAAGGGAGCTGACAATTATTAGGTAATTTTCTAGGGGGGGGTTAAAAAATTTAAAATTTTATATATAAAACCTGATAAATTATATATTAAAAACTGGAGGGTAAGCCTCTGATAAAAAAAAATCAGGTGATAAATAACACTGCCCTAAGTGTTCTTAATGTAGGTAAATTGGGGTTTGCAAGATCCCAAATTGTAGAGCTACTTGTAACTGAATGCTTGGACTTGTAAAAGGAGAAGAAATATCTTGTAGATTTCTTTTCTTCTTCAATCTATTTAGCATTTGATCTCACTTGCCATTTTTTAGAGAGAGATGTTAGGTTATCTTGTATTTGTATCTTTGTGTACTCTGCCAGAAGACTGAAGTCAGTTTGTTCTGGGTTTTTTGCCAGTTTGTTATTAAGATCATTTAATTTTTTATATAGTCTCTGTATTTTTTTTTTCTGGTAGTGAATCAGGTTTGAAGGCTCTAATTATTGATTGTATTGCACACTTATGTTGATCTTATTCCTCAACATCATAAATATTTTTGATTTTCTCAATTAACTCATTTCTAAGCTCCATCATGGTCCAAAATTTTCTGTTGAATCTTCAGTATGCTGTTGGTCTGTGTTTAACTTTACTTGAAATTGTGCTTTCTACTAGTAGATGATCCAAATTACTGAATTAGGTTTGAGTTTCAAAGCTCAGATGGCCATAATTGGTATCTACAAAAATGTAATCCAGTTAGGTGGCTATTTTTGGTTATCATATATGCTTTGGTAAAAAGTAAGAAAAGGATTGTTTTTAGAAAAGCTTGCTGTATCTACAAATTTCTCTCTTTGTATTTGTGCTTAGCTAATCTGATTTACTTCAGGGTCTAGGTTGGTATTGAAATTCCCTGCTATGATGTCTAGAGCATTATTGCTTATTATGGGTGTCCAGCTATTAAAGAATTGGTATCTATCCCCTTGATTAGAGAAGTATATACATTTGTGACTATATTTACAAAGTTTAAATATGAACTCAGCTGAAATTACTTAATCATTATGCGAAATTACTTTTTTAGTGAACTTAATATTTGGCCTTCCTGCCAAGATTGCTGTCTTGAAAATCCAAATTGTTTTGTAACTCTATTGTTGTGAAAGGAACTTTCTTGTTGAGATGTTGTTTAAGTTTGTTTCTTGTAACAATATTAGATCTATTTTGTATGATTTTAGGGTTGATCTTTAGTAGAGGTGGCCACTATAAAAATATTATAAAATTATAATATATAAACATAGTATTTAAACTAATTTAAGCAAATTTGAGATTAGTTAGGGTTAAGGTAAGAGTTATAGTTTAGTTTATAGTTAGCTCTAGGGTTAGGGTTAGAGTTTTTTTATATTATAATCTTATAATATTTTTATATTGGCCACCTATACTAAAGAAGATCCGATTTTAGTAATATTAAAGTCTTTTGGGCCTTTGTTTTGTCATTAAGACCCTGTGGCAATTTTAATCATAGTTAGTGCAAGTATATAAGGCCATACAAATTTAATTACTTGGTTTTCATAACATGAAACTTTTAAATAGACCCGGCCGGCCGGCTTT